ACCTCGTCAGCTGGGAAGGTCCTGCTGGCACCGGGCTGGTGTCTCTTAGACAGCTGTATTAAAGAAAACCAAACATCAATGCCTGATCGTGGCACCACATCGGCCAAAACCCCACAAGTCTGCTCCTCACCCTTCTCTTAAGAACGCTCAGCTGCTTGGGCCGCACGCTTCGGGCACACTCAGAGACCGAGGCCGTTGCCACAGGGGACGCCTGGGTTAAGAGGAGATGAGGTGATCTGGCACGGCTGAAACCTGAGTGGACCCTCGCTCCTCCCCCCTACATCCCTGACTCACCACAACTCCTGGGCAGCTGCCGGAGGCCACCCGGATGGCACCTTTAAATAGAAAAGTTCAGGGTTTCATCACCAAGTCCTGTAATACATCCACAGGCTTCACATTTGCAGGAAACCCGGTGCATCGGCCGGCTGGTGACAGGGGCTTGGCATACTCCGAGTGGATTGCCTAAAGTACACAAACGAGAACGGAAGCTTAGAGCTGCACCAGAAATTGAGACCTGAGCAATAACAACTACTTCTCTCCACTGCTCACCTTGACTGCTGGTATCCACATTTACTTCCTAAAAAGAAAGACAAAGAACAGTGCTGTAACAGAGTCACCATATACACTTCTGCTGCAGAGACAAACGGTGCCTCACCTGCACGGGGGAAACCCCTCACTCGGGATGGGGCCCTCTGGCACACATTTAATCCATCTGAATCTGAAAAAAAAGTTAGGACAAAACTCAAACTGTTGCAGGATAACTTAGGAGCTCCAGACGTCTTGTGTCCATCTACAAATCCCATCTAGAGTCCCACTACACCCCACATTACAAACTCCCAGGGACTTCTCCTACTGCACCAGGCTATGTGGCAGGGCAGAGCAGCTCCGGCACAAATGTGTGTGCTGACACCCGTGACACGGGACAGGATGTGACAGACAGGGGGGACACAACAGGAACAGAAAGCTCCTGGCAAGGAAAGTGGCTGCAAGGACTCAGAGAATGCAAAAGGAGATGACCAAGATGAGACAGATGGCAAACTGATGAGGCTCAGAGAACCCTGGAGGAAGATGCTGGCTGAATGATTTATTCCAAGAACTGCAAAGATGGATACCCAGGAATCCTACGGTCAGAATCCTCACCCTAACCTCGCATTCTTACAAAGCCTAATCCGTCATAACGGAGCACTGAGGAGCACGGCTGTCCGTGCAGCTCAGAACAAGACCTGAAAAGCCACCTGACTGGATGCTTCCAAAGAGAGATGCAATTCTGATGCCTGTCGGAGCTCCTGAGTCAAAGGTTCCATGGCCTGGGCACCAGGCTGAGGAACACTGAGATCACAGATTCTAAGAATGGCGCCAAGGTTTCTGACAGGCCCTTCACAGGGCTAAGATAAGAGACATGAGATACCCAAACATCACATAATACACAAAAGACAAGGGACACGATACACACCGGGACTGCTCTGCCCTGCGCACCTCAGCACTGTGATCAAAAGTGAGACTTTCCTTTTACGTGGCCTAAGGGGCCACATCTTGGCTACCCTCATCTCCAGAGACAACTCAACCCCCTCCCCCCCAGGAGCCCCAACCCAGCACCCTGCTTTCATCCCCTCTGTGGGTCGTAGCCCTTGACTTATCTCTTGGACATACGGAAATCCCAGTCCATGTCAGGTGCGAAGGAAGGCCGCCTCGTCAGCTGGGAAGGTCCTGCTGGCACCGGGCCGTTGCCTCTTAGACAGCTATATCAAAGGAAACCAAACATCAATGCCTGATCCTGGCACCACATTGGCCAAAACCCCACAAGTCTGCTACTCACCCTTCTCCTAAGAAGGCCCGGCTCTTCGGGTCGCACGCTCCGGCCGCGCTCGGAGGCCGATGCCATCGTCGTGGGGTGCGCCTGGGTTAAGTGGACAGGAGGTGACGTGGCATTGCTGAAACCTGAGTGGACACTCGCTCCTCCCCCCTACATCCCTGACTCACCACAACTCCTCGGCGGTTCCTGACGGCTGCCCGGAACGTGGGGCTCGCGAGAGCGGCAAACCCGGTCTGGCGGCCCGTTGGGGATGGGAGCTTGGCATGCTCCGAGCAGATGGCCTAAGGCACAAAAATGAGAATGGAGACTTAGACTTGCCCCAGGAATTGAGACCTCAGCAACAAGAAAGGCTACTGCTCACCTTACCCTCTTGAACTTGACTGCTGAGATCCTGCTATACTTGCTAAAAATAAAGACAAAGAACAGCGCTGTAACAGGGTCACACTTGACACATCCCCTGCACAGACAAATGGTGACTGACCCGCTATGGGGAACCCCCTCACCCGGGATGGGGTGCTCTGCCATGGATGCAATGCATCTGCACCTGCAAGAGAGTTAGAACATATGTCAAACACCTGCAGGATGACTCAAAAGCTGCAAACACCTTATATCAATCTAGGAACAGCATCTAGAGTCCAAGTACACCCCACATGAAAAATTTCAACTCCCCAGGGCTTGTCCTATTACAAAAGGCTATGCAGCAGGGCAGAGCAGCTCCGGCACAAATATGTGCAGACACCCGTGACACAGGACAGACAGGACACAACAAACAATGGGCACACAACACAGACAGAAATCTCTTGGCAAAAAGGATTACTGCGAGCAACGAGAGCATGCCAAATGAGATGACCGAGGTGAGACTGATGGCAAGCTGATGTGGCTCAGAAAACACTGATGGAAGAAGATGCTAACTGAATGATTTATTCCAAGAACCTGCAAAGATGGATGCCCGAGAATCAGACCGGTCAGAAGCCTCTACCGGTCCTCACATTCTTTCAAGTCCTAATCTGCCATAATGGATCCTGGCAGGGCATAGCTGTCCATACAGCTCAGAACAAGACCTGAAAAGACATCTGACTGGATGCTTCCAAAGAGAGATGCAATTCTGATACATGTCTGAGCTCCCCAGGCAAAGGTTGTAAGGCATGGGTGCCAGGCCAAGAAATGCAGAGATCACAGACGATAAGAACAATGCCAAGGTTTCTGACAGGACCCTGAAAAGGCTAAGGTAAGAGACATGAGATACCCAAACAACACATAATGCACAATAGACAAGGGACACAATGCACACCGGGACCGCTCTGCCCAGCGCACCTCAGCACTGGGATCAAAAGTGAGATTTTGCTTTTATGGGGCCTAAGGGGCCACTTCATGGACACCCCCCCACCTCCAAAGGGGACTCAAAAACCCGTCGCAGTATTTCCCAAACCAGCACCCTGCTTACATCCCCCCTGGGGGTCGTAGCCCTCTACTTCTCTCTCAGACATCTGGGGATGCCGGTCTCAGGTGCAAAGAAAGGCCACCTCGTCAGCCGGGAAGGTCCTGCTGGCACCGGGCTGGTGTCTCTTAGACAGCTGTATTAAAGAAAACCAAACATCAATGCCTGATCGTGGCACCACATCGGCCAAAACCCCACAAGTCTGCTCCTCACCCTTCTCTTAAGAACGCTCAGCTGCTTGGGCCGCACGCTTCGGGCACGCTCAGAGACCGAGGCCGTTGCCACAGGGGACGCCTGGGTTAAGAGGAGATGAGGTGATTTGGCACGGCTGAAACCTGAGTGGACCCTCGCTCCTCCCCCCTACATCCCTGACTCACCACAACTCCTGGGCAGCTGCCGAAGGCCACCCGGATGGCACCTTTAAATAGAAAAGTTTAGGGTTTCATCACCAAGTCCTGTAATACATCCACAGGCTTCACATTTGCAGGAAACCCGGAGCATCGGCTGGCTGGTGACAGGGGCTTGGCATACTCCGAGTGGATTGCCTAAAGTACACAAACGAGAACGGAAGCTTAGAGCTGCACCAGAAATTGAGACCTGAGCAATAACAACTACTTCTCTCCACTGCTCACCTTGACTGCTGGTATCCACATTTACTTCCTAAAAAGAAAGACAAAGAACAGTGCTGTAACAGAGTCACCATATACACTTCTGCTGCAGAGACAAACGGTGCCTCACCTGCACGGGGGAAACCCCTCACTCGGGATGGGGCCCTCTGGCACACATTTAATCCATCTGAATCTGAAAAAAAAGTTAGGACAAAACTCAAACTGTTGCAGGATAACTTAGGAGCTCCAGACATCTTGTGTCCATCTACAAATCCCATCTAGAGTCCCACTACACCCCACATTACAAACTCCCAGGGACTTCTCCTACTGCACCAGGCTATGCGGCAGGGCAGAGCAGCTCCGGCACAAATGTGTGTGCTGACACCCGTGACACGGGACAGGACGTGACAGACAGGGGGGACACAACAGGAACAGAAAGCTCCTGGCAAGGAAAGTGGCTGCAAGGACTCAGAGAATGCAAAAGGAGATGACCGAGGTGAGACTGATGGCAAACTGATGAGGCTCAGAGAACCCTGGAGGAAGATGCTGGCTGAAAGATTTATTCCAAGAACTGCAAAGATGGACACCCAGGAATCCTACGGTCAGAATCCTCTCCCTAACCTCGCATTCTTACAAAGCCTAATCCGTCATAACGGAGCACTGAGGAGCACGGCTGTCCGTGCAGCTCAGAACAAGACCTGACAAGCCACCTGACTGGATGCTTCCAAAGAGAGATGCAATTCTGATGCCTGTCTGAGCTCCCGAGTCAAAAGGTCAATGGCCTGGGTACCAGGCCAAGGAATGCAGAGATTACAGATGCTAACAATGATGCCAGGGTTTCTGCTAGGCTCCTCAAAGGCCTAAGGTAAAGGACATGACACATCCAACCACACAGAACACACAATAGACAAATGACACAGTACACACCGGCACTGCTCTGCCCTGCGCACCTCAGCACTGTGATCAAAAGTGAGACTTTGCTTTTATTTCCCCCCCAGGCCTAAGGGGCCGCTTCGTGCACACCCCCGTCTCCAAAGTGGACTCAAAAACCCCTCCCGGTGGGTCCCTGCCCTGCGCCCTGGTTTCATCCCCTCTGTGGGTCGTGGCCCTCTACTTATCTCTCAGACATCTGGGGATGCCGGTCTGTGTCAGGTGCAAAGGAAGGCTGCCTCGACAGCTGGGAAGGTCCTGCTGGCACTCTTGTTCAACAACTTCCTGTTGTTTCTTCATCTGCTCCAATAAAGTAAACAAAATATCAATGCATAACCTCAGCAGCACATTGGCCAAAACCCAACAATTCTGCCACTCACTCTTTTCCCAAGAATGCCCGGCTCCTGGGGCCGCACGCTTCAGCCGCACTCGGAGGCTGACGCCATCGTCGTGGGGCACGCCTGGGCTAAGAGGAGACGAGGGGATGTGGCGCTGCTGAAACCTGAGCGGAGCCTCGCTCCTCCTCCCTACTTCCCTGACTCACCGCAACTCCTCGGCCATTGCTGAAGGCTACCCTGGTGACACCTTTAAACAGAAAAGGCAGAGGCTTCATCGCCGAGTCCCGGGATTCTTCCCCAGGGCTCGGGAGAGCGGCAAACCCGGCGCGTCGGCCGGTTGGTGACTGGGGCTTGGCGTACTCCGAGTGGATTGCCTGAAGCGCAGAAACAGGAACGGATGCTTAGAGCTGCACCACAAAGTGAGACTGGAGCAATAACAACTAACTGCTTCTGTACGCTACTCAATGCTCACCCTGCCCATCTCACCTTGCCTGCTGATGTCCAGCTTCCTAAAAAGAAAAAGAACAGAGCTGTAACAGAGTCACACTTGACACTCCCCCTGCAGAGACAAACGGTGACTGACCTGCTCAGGGGAACCTCCTCACTCGGGATGGGCGGATGGATTTTGCCCTGGATTTTATCCTTCTGCATCTGAAAGAAAGCGAGGACAAACGTCAAAGGGCTGCAAGATATCTTCACAGCTCCAAACATCTTCTGTCTATCTAGGAATATCATCTAGAGTCCGGCCACACCCCACAAACTGCGTGTCCCTGAGCCTTGTCCTGTTGCAGCAGCCTCTGCGGCAGGGCAGAGCAGCTCCGGCGCAAATATGTGCAGACACCCGTGACACAGAACGTGACAAACGGGGGGACGTTAAACACGACACATTATGCTTGTGGTGAGGGCCTCGAGGGGAAAAGGCAAAAGGGACCCCAAAGACACAGTAGGTAACACGGTACACCCGACAACACGACGTGGACCGGAACTGCTCTGCCCTGCCCGCCTGCACGCTGCCATCAAATGTGGAGTCTCTCCCCTTAGCTGTCCTAAGAGGCCCCTTGGAGAAGATTGCTTTTCCCTCTGCTAATTTTTCAATCTGTCCCAGGAACTCCCAACCCGCTGCTCTCCCTTCTCCAGGCCGTGACCCAGACTTATCTTTTGGATGATCAGTGATGTGAATCCACGTTGCACCTGAAATGAGTCTGCCTCGGAGGGCCCTGTGATCGCCTGTTAGCCTCTCGGTCAGCTACAATAAAGAAAACCAAAACCAAAGTATGAGTTCAGAGTTATGTGGGCCAAATCCCAGCAAGTCAGCTACTTGCCCTCTCCTGAGTGTGCCTGGCTCCTTCAGGCTCCACCTTCATCCTGATTCCAAGGCTGTGGGCATTATTATGAGTGACACCTGGGTTAGAGAAAAGCAAAGTTCAATGGCATTCCTGTGAGTGCAGTGGACCTTGTGTGAGGAAGACATGGGAATGCCTCTGCTGTGCTTCTGAAAAGCCCTGTGTGGGGGGGCCCTCAAATAAACACCCTTTCTCACCCTGCTGCCTGCAAACCCCCCTGCCCCCCAATAACTCCTAACTGGACACCTGCTCACCCTCCCTCTCCCAGTCACAACCCTCAACTCACCTGAAGCCTCCATCTCAAACATCATTTTTGACACTGGGCAGATGCCTCCTGTGACATGATCAATCTGCTGAAAGAAGTGCTGTGCTGGACACAACCTGGGATCTCTGGAAGCTGTGCACCTCCTAAAAACAATAAAAACACAAAACAAGAACAAAACCAGAAATTGCAAATGCACTTTATCACCCCTAAACACAAAATCTGACATTGTCACCTTAAATACTCCCTGTATTCCATGCCATTTTCTTCACAGGATCTTCCAAGCCTCTATTGCTTTAGATGCCCAGAAACACCTGCTGAAAGCAAGCTGAGATAAGCTGAAAGAGCCTCGTCACTGAAATGACAGGAGAGCCCTCACCCCAGCACACCCCAAAGAGGGAATGAAACCCCTCAGCAAAGGCTGGGGTTAATATACCCCTGATGGTGCCCCGCCTCCCATTCCCATGATGCCTGGGAAAAGGGAGGGGGCTAATCCCACTGAATAGAAAAGCCCTCAGAGCAGCTGCAGCTGTTTGGCTCCTCTGATTCAAATCCAAAGGGAGTAAAGGCCTTGTTATAGAAGAAAGCTCTTCAGAAAAATAACAGCGCTTTCTTTTTTGACACAACTACTTGGAGCAGAACAACAGAAAAATGGTAAGACATAAAGCATTGTGTTTAGGTAGCATACCTAGATAAATTGGGTAATTTGCTGTTAACTTACTTAATTAATCTGTGTTTAACAAAAGCCATCTAATAAATTAACACCCAGAACTTCAGCAGCCCAGCTGGCCCTACCAAATCTCTCTGTTGATACATGCAGTAAATAAAACCAAAATCCCAGGAATACCTATCAGAAGTCTAGGAAAGAAACCTCTTGAAATTAATCCTACCTCAAATACAAACCAACCTGTCCAGAAAGTTAGCTTCACTCAAAAAACTATTTACACAGAGTTAATAAGACCAAGAAATAAAACAACACACCATCTACCACCAACAAATACAACAATGAAGGAGAAAAACCCATGTTTTTTTCTTTTTTTTATTTCAACTAACTTCCTTTATTAGCTAGAACCAAAGATTTTGCCAGGGCTGTAAAAAAAACCAACAACTTCTTTTTCTTCTTCTCCTTCTGAAACGTCCCTTCTCCTTTCCAAATTCCTTACAACTTCTGAGTTTCAATCCAAGCCAAAAGCAAAATTCGTGCACTTGTGAGTCCGGTGCTCCTGTCAGGTTCTCTGTCTCACTCCACATCTTCTTACACTTTCAGTCTGAACGCTGTCCTGCCCTGATGAGTTTGACAGAAGCATTGGCACATGTTAAGAGAGCATTTCCCTGCCTCCCTCCCTCCCTCCCTCCCCAGAGCTGGTTTCCTTAGCGCATTTCAATCGATCCCAGGCCGGAATGATGCGCGCTCACCTCAAGGCTCACAGCAAGCACGCAGCAGCTCAGGCTGACTTGGCTCCAGGGCTCTGTGCTTGGATAGCTGAGAAAACTTCCGATGAGCCTCTGTTCCAAGACATTGGAATGCAATTTCCCTGTGCATTTGGTGGCAGCTTTGGGTCCCTCTGGGGGACGGCACCCAGCGTGACCCCCGCCCCTCGCCCGCCCCCCACCTGCTCCTGCACCGCCGTGGGGCTCCCTCTCCTGGGCACCTTGGGCTGCCCCCAACGGCATCAGAGCCCCGAGCCTTCACCCCCCCTTTCCCTGACCCCCAAAGAAGGCTCAGAACGAGTCCGACTGCCCTGGACAGCAGCGCAGCGCTTCCCCCAAGCCCTTCCCCAGATGATGAAATCTCCAAGTGATTCAATCTCTCCTAGGAAAATTCAGTCAAGGGTTTAATATCTGAAAGCTTTACTCTCAAGAAGAATCATTTAAATTTGCCATCCTTGACAGGAGTTGTGATTGTGAGACCAAGTAGAGGAAGTCATGCTGCGGAACAATAAAATGATTTAAATATGAACTGGTTCAAGCCTGAACTGACACTTTGAATGTTCCTGTCTCTCTGCTAAAAAAATTGGGTGTAAGAGAGGGGTTTAACTTTGTTCATTGCTAAATACACAGAAATCTAACATTGAACTGCCTAGGCACAATACACACAGGTTAGAAAAATGGAGGTGGTACACATTGCATTCAGCTGCAGGCAGAAGGATTAGCTACCTCACACATACCCAATGTGCCTTCCAAGATATTCAATTGAACTTTGGACTCTGATTTCTAAGAACAGGAAAGTGAGGCAGATTAGGAAAGTGATGCCTGCCAGAAATGTAAAGCTACCTTTGATACAGGTTTGGTGGTTTTGTGGTATTTTTTTCCCTCCTGCAATGCATGCCCAGGTAAAAGGTGTTCAATAGCAAAGCACGTTAGGCACACTAAAAGTCAAGGCAATTCACTTCTTTAGTGTGATGATCTTTCTTCATCTCTTAATAAAAGAAGCTCTCTCTGAATGGCTGCCAGATCTGATGAGATATGGTCAGCAAAAATGCCTAAAGCACGAGACCTGTTCTGGAAAGTGCTGCCCATGCACAGCTTTTGATTCTTGTCTTTGCACTGCTTGTGTTGTACTTTTTCTACTGTTTAGAAAGGTCTCGGCATCCAATATTGGTGGCAAGGTCCTTTTTGTGCAACAGGATGCTTTTTGTGGTTGTCAGTGCTTATTCAAGGTGATCTGTCCACAAGTTTGGGACATATTTTTAGAATCTCCTCTTTAATTGTGAGCATTTCCAGAGCATTTAACTCAAGTGATACTTCTTGTGTTAACAGCTGAACAATGTCTAGGAGAATACAGAAAACTATAAAATAATGGTAAATCACAAAAATATGATGCACAGAAAACCCTTATTAACAGATGCTGAAAATAAGAATGTAACCTTTGGTGGCTTGTTTTGAATTTGAATGAGTGCTCTTGTCATCTGCAGCAAAATATGCAGCAAAATATTCCTAACTGCTATGAGAATAACTGGCATTTATGGGCACTTAAATATGGTTCTTTACTATCTGTGTTTGCAGAAAATGGGCAGATCTTCCTGAGGTTAGCTGTTGGTATGCCACTTCTAGAGCAGATGGGGAAATAAAACACTGAAATCAAGTGATTTTAGCAATGAGAGAAGCTAAGGGACTATCAGTCCAAATGACAAGCTGGGGCTCACACCATTCTTTGTGTGTGCTTACAGGAGCTTTGGTTCTCTAGGAGTAAGAAAGAGTCTCTATGTTAAAATGTTTGCCTGCTATTGTTGATTAAAGAAACCCCAAAACTGCCACCCACACAGACTTCTGATCAAGAATGTCAGCAGAGTTTAAAGGCTGAACTCTTCATACTTTTAGGCCTGAGCAGTCACCACCTTCTAAACTGTGGTCTAGTTTATTTAGACTACTCAGTTTCTTTCCTTTTAAAATTGGAATTAAAATTTCATGCACCTTTGGCCTTTTGAACTAATATATATTTGTTGTTTTCATATCCTAAGATTATATTCTTCAATTGAAAAACTATCCTATCATATATGCACCTCAAATGAGACGACTTCACTGGAAACAATATATTATCATGAAAAGTATGTTTTTGTAGTGCTAAACAGTTTTCAGCTGGTTTATCACAAAAATCCCCTCAGACTGTTCAGAACAAGACTGAATTCAGGTAAAACTGTCATTTCATGTGACAATGCAAAGCTCATCTTAGCCAGTAAACAACAATACACTGCTTTGCTGTC